TTCAGGCAAGCCAGGCCCCGACCCCGCCGCGCCTGCCGGATCGGGCCCCGAAACCGAAAGCCGGGATGGGAGGATGCCCCAAAAAGCAGCCCTCCTCTCCCTGCGGGGCTTGCACCGCCACCGCCCGCAGGGAGGAAGGGTCGGAGGACGGGGCAGGAGGCTCCCTTCCCTTCCCTTCCCTTCCCCTCCCCTCCCCTCCGCCCGCAAGGGCTGCTGCAGTGCCGAGGAAGCCGGGCAGGGCTGGGCGCCTCTTGGCTTCCCCCCGCCCGGGTGACCTGGGCACCAGTGTCTCGGGTGGGCAAAGCGGGGCCTCGGTGACTGCTTCTTCCTAAATACGAGCTAAGGGCATGGGGCTGTGCAGGCCCCGGCTGGCGATCAGGGGTTTTCCTCGTACGTGCTGGAATAACACGGGGACCGTCCCGCTGCTCGGGGCAGTTTGCTGGCAAGGGGGCTGCAGCCGGAGGCAGCTGATGCGTTGCCTCCAGGGCCGCGGGTTGCTCCAGCCCCTTCCCCTAGTGCCGGCTCTGCGGGTCTCTCTGTGCGCAGCGGTTCCAGGGCCGGGTGCAGGACTAGGTGCTCTGGGAGGCCTGGGGTTGAATGCTCCGGCCAGGCCAGGGCGCTTCAGAGGCCTTGTAGGAGCCAGCGCTCCCGGTGCTGATTATAGGAGCCGGGGACCTCCGGTTGCAGCCCCGGCTCCGCACGCTGCGCACGTGATGGGGGAAAGCCGGTCCAGGCGTTTCGGAGCGTGCAAGGGCCGTGCTGCAACGGCAAGGAGCGTGCAGCTCTGCAGGACCAGGTGGTACCTCCACCTCTGGGCTGTTGGCTGGGCATGTCCTGCAGGTAACGGGGATGGCGTGCGTCTCGGGCCCAATCCTGCCTGCACTCGGAGCCCTGCTGTGCCCCGGAGCGCGGGGCCTGGAGGACTGGGCCGGCACTTGTGGGGGGACGAGCTTTCGTGAGGGGAAGCTGTGGCAGGCCCTGCGAGGAGGCAGGGGTGTCGTGTGGGGCAGTCTCGGCATGCAAGTGCTGGCTGGGTGACCAGCGATTGCAGCCCCGGAGATTTCCAGTGTTTTTGCTCTGCTTTGTTTCCCTTGCACTGTTTGCCGCCTCCGTCCCGCTCCGTGCTGCTGGGCCAGTCCCCGGCGCCTGGGCTGTCACAACCTGCTGTGGGAGAAACTGGGGGGCCTGGATCTCGTCCCGGCCAGGCGGGGAAGGGGCTTCCCTGCTGTGGGAAGCCCCCCTGCAGCACCCTGAGGCCTGCCCACGAGGGAGATGCTTTGTGACCTGGCCCCCGCGCTCCCTGGAAACTCGCCTGGAGCCAGCCCCAGCACCCAGCAGTCCTCCTTGGTCACCGCTGCCCGCAGCCGGGGCTGGGGACCGAGAGGAGGAAGCCTTCCTCGCCCGTGACTAGCCCCCGCACCGTCCCCTTTGCAGGGGTGTTGGATTTCTAAGGGCGGCTGAGCAAACCAAAGCCACCGTTTCCTTATTCAGGATCCGGGAACGCAGCCTCCCTCCGGACGGAGAGCCAGCTTGGCTCGAGCGTCTCTTCAGGGCTTTCGGTGCAGAAGGGAAGCCGCCCCCTCACCACATTTGGGGGGGAACTGTTTGCAGGGGGGGAAAAAAAGCCCCAACTCCAGTTTGGGTTGGAAAGGCAGTGCTTGTCCCAGGCGAGGGGGGTGTGGGCGTACGGCTGTTGCATTGAGGGGAGAGAGAGCAGCTCACCGCTGCTTTGCGAGAGAGAGGGGCTGCCCCCCTGGATGCTTGTGTTGTCCCTACCCCTGCGTGGCCGAGGGCCGTGGGGCGGTCCCCAGGCCAGGAGCCCCGGCTGGATAAGGGCACTAGTTTAGGATGTGGCCCCTCGCAGGGTGCTTTGCTGCGCTTGACACAACAGATGCGAGGAGCTCGGGCGCAGCAGGGTCCCCGCGTGCGAGCTGTCTGTCCGTAAGCCACGGATCTCCGCTCAGTACGCGCCGAAGCTGTGGCCCGTTTCTTGGCATAGGGCACAAGCAACCACCCCAGTGAGTCCTGTAACGCTGCGCCGTCCGCCGGGGTAGGAGGAGGCTGGGGGTCACAGCCCGCACCGGGTCAGTAAAGCCTCGCGTGGGATCCGAGGGGTTAATAGGAACCGGAGGCTTCGGCAGGAGTGCTGCTTTTGTGGGATTAAGGGGAAGCGTGTGAAGCGCGAAGGGAGTGGGGAGGAAGGGATGTCGCGCGCACAGGCCCGGAGAGGGATCTGTGAGCCAGCGGGACAGGGCCGGGTGGGAACACCTGTCCTGCGGGTACCCAGACACCGGCAGGCCCCGCGGGTGTCCGCCCGGGGACTTCCCTGTGTCGGCTGCACGTCCCAGCGTGGCACCGCGATGCTGCTCCACTGCAGGTCTTTGAGCTTTGCTTTCTGCACAACGGGAGGAGGGGTGCGATGGATGGGATCGTGGCCTGGATTTTACCTTCCTGCGCACGACCGCCTTGTGCCTCGGTTCCCCTTTCTGTGAAATGGGGGGGGAAACCCCCCCGCTCCTGCCTCCTTCGCAGGGCTTTGGGCTCTCCGCGAGGCGAGGGAGCGGCTCCAGCCCGCTGGGGTGCCCAGTGCGAGGGGCTGGCTGAAGGCTGACCCTTCCCCTCGACTTGTCAGGGGCAGCGTGTCAGCTTGTTTACACGGCACCTTGTTCCCGGTAATCCCAGTTACAGGAAGGATCGCAGCTCTAAATTTAAGAAAAAAAAAATTAATACGGCTCTTTTGTTTGTGCATTTATATAAATGGACTGGCACACAGTCAGTTTACAGAGTTCCCATCTGAAGTGAATTAGCAACGTCTCTTTAGCTAACGCTGCGTCGTTTCAGCACAAAAGCGTCCTCTCCACGCAGCCGGCTTTGCCCCCCAGCCCCGCTTTGGTCCACTACATTCAGACTCCAACATCTAGACGTTTCCGTGCCTCCCAAATAGTTTGCAATTAGTAATATTCATGTTGGACACTCGAACTGTACTCGCGCCTCAGTTATTCACACCGAAGGAGCCCGATTCCGCTTTTAAAGGATGCCGATGTAAATCAGACGTGACCCCATTGAGGGCAGCGGTGAGAGAGGCCTCTGGGCCGTTGTGGTCCCTTGCAGCCTGGGTGCAGATGGGAGACGGTCGCTCGACGGGGTTGGGTTTGGCACGGTCGCACAATGGGTTTTGATCCTGCGGTAGCTGTGTGAGCGTTCAATTAACCCTGCACTTGGACCGTACGGCCGGAGGGGCGGGAGTTGCTTTGCTTCATTAAGTGAATTGGTAATGAAGGGGGGTGGGAAGCTGGAGAGTGTTTTGTTTTGGATTGACTGATTTTTTTTTTTTTTTTTTTTTAATTTTTTTAAAAATTATTATTATTTTTTTTTTTTTTTAAGTCTTTGGGAATGAAAATAAATTGTTGAACAGAACGGAGAGAAGGTTTAGGCCCTTCAGATTCAAGCCGCTGAGCGGGGTAGATGCGGGATGAGCTGTATTATACGTCTTCCTAGATGGTTGACCAGGGCAGCAAGCATGGCAGAGGCTTCCGGGTGCCTGGTGTGGAAGAGGACAGCCTACAAAATTCAAACGGGGAAATACGGGAGCCGCGATAGCAGAGATGGTAATAGCTGGTCTGCTCCGACAGCTCGGCGGCAGCTGGCACGGACGGGCTGTGCCGTAGCCTTGCACAAAAGCAGCCGAGCTTGGCTCCGTAATACTTCTAGACTCTACGGGAAAGAAACCTTTTATCCGAGGTCTGAGTCGTTGCAGGACCGACGATAACTCTGCCGTCGCAAAGGGAAAAAAATCAGTTCTTTGCCGTTGTTTGCGTCCCCCATTATTTTTAATGAGAACCGCCAATGAATATGCATTTAAAAGAGAAAAATAGCAGAGGGAGAACGTAGGCTTCACCCAGCCGGATTTAACGCACCTCTAGAGGGGTCCAGCTTTGTGGGGCAGTGAACGGGCTGCACGTCTGCCCGCGGCGTCGCAGACTCTCTTGTCAACCACGGAGGCTTTTGCAAGCAACTTCAGCGTGCAGAAATCAAAGGTTGCGAACCTCGCCGGAAGAGCTGGCTCGGGAGACGCTTGGGAGCAGCGTGAGGCGAAGCCTGAGCGCTGTTTGCATTTTTACTTTCTCCAGGGTGTAACTCTGAACGGTATTTCTGGCACGAATAAACGAACTCGGGCCTTTTTTTTTTTCTTTTTTTCCCTTTAGTGGCAAAGGGGTTTTAATGAGGGGTGGGTGGGAAATAAGACTGCGCGCGCATTTGTGTGCAAAAGGTTTGAATTGATGGGAAAGGGGGGAAAAATGGCTCTTAGGAGATTTCCATCTGAGTGGCACATGGGTCCTTATCCAGACGAGACGCCCATGGGCTTGAAGGCTGAGTCACGGACCCGCCTGACCACAACCCCCCGCTTGTGCATTTACCGTCTGTTCGGCAGCTGTCGCAGCACGATGCCTCATCCTCTGCCCGCAGCCTGGTCCAGGCCCGTTGCAGTCAGCGGTGCGTCCGGTGCTTGATTTCAGCTGGATTTCGTGTGACCCCCCCCGCTTCCCTCTCCTACTCTGAGAGCTCTTGTAGGCCGTTTCCCTTGGGGTGGAGGCATCTCCTGGGCTGAGCTCCTGGCTACGGCTTCCCCCAGCGAGGGATGTTCCCAGAGGCAACCGGCCTTGCTCCCGTGGATGTCCGCGGGCAGAGGGAGACCAACCCGCCGTGCTGCCGTAAACCCCATCCTGGCCCCGCAGCAGGGTGGCAAGGTCCTTCTCCTGCCCCACCGCTCCCAGAGCTGCGCTGCCTGCTTCCTCGCCTCCTCGCTGCTCTCCCAGGGCCCCGGCACGCGCCTGCCTCCCACGTCTCTGCTTTGGTGCTCTGGCTTCTCCATATGGCGTTAGCAGGGATCCTGGTTTTCTCCGTTTAAAAAAAATCCCCAATTTTCAGTTTAAAAAAAACAACCAACCCGAATCCATGTTTTTCTGTGATTTTTTTTTTTTTTTTTTTTTAAAGGAAACACCACTATAGATATCGATATGAAACACCACTATCATGAGAATCGCCAATGAATATGCATTTAAAAGAGAAAATGTATAGATATAGCGGTGTTTCATTTTAATCATGGAAAAATGTAGATTTGGGGTTACTTTTTTAAACCGAAAATTTGGGGATTTTTTTAAACCAGAGAAAACTAGGATCCCTGGTCGTTAGGGGCTCGGGGCTGAACCTGGGACAGACCTGCCGGGGCCGAGGTTTCTATCCCACCTCTACTAGCTTGATGGAGGCATCAGCAGGGCCCGACCAACACCAAGTGTCCTGGGTCGCCTATCCCTGGCTCTGCCACTGGCCTCTGGGTGACCTTGGGCAAGTCTCTTTGCCGTCCAGGTGCCCTTTCCCATGCCAGGCTTGGCCTGTTGCTCTATTCCTGTAAACCCCCAGGGAGGGGGCAGCGCGGCCTCGTGTGCCCCGGGGCCCCCAAGGCTATCGTGGGACAAACGTGAGAGCTTCCCCCTGACCTCTTGCCCTCCGTGCGTGCCTGTTTTCTCTTCCAGTCGGTTCGGCACCAAGTGCGCCCGCTGCGGCCGGCAGATCTATGCCAGCGACTGGGTGAGGAGAGCCCGTGGCAACGCCTACCACCTCGCTTGCTTCGCCTGCTTCTCCTGCAAGAGGCAGCTGTCCACCGGCGAGGAGTTCGGGCTGGTGGAGGAGAAGGTGCTGTGCCGGATCCACTACGACACCATGATCGAGAACCTCAAGCGGGCGGCGGAGAACGGTAGGCCCCCCCCGCGGGACTCGCGGGCAGGAGCGTGGCTGGCTCAGTGCGTGTCCTCTCGCCCCGGCTCCTTTCCTAGGTCGCTCAGTCCCCGGTCTCTTCCCGGGCGATTGGGTCAGTGCCCTGCTATTCCCAGGGCCGCACGGTGGGCAAAGCAGAGCCTGGTGGGCAGAGCTCTCGCCCCCGACTGACCCAAGGTGAGCAGGACCCCGGCCTGCCCCAGGGAAGGATCGGGTCCCCTATTGCGATCCTTGGTGCTTTCTGCACCGCCAGCCAAGCTGAAGCTGCACAGCACGTGCAGAGACCATGCCCCGGCCACGCTGGTTTGGGGCTTTACCCCATTGCTCTCCCTCGTCTCTTGTCCTGCCCCGCACTGCTGACCCTGACTTCTGCTCGTCCCAATTGCATTGCAGCCCCGTGTTTTCTCTCCGGGGAGCAAGAGAGGCCCCGTTCTCCGCTCCTCTCGGCTTTCCCATAGGACACCAGCCCCCAGCAGACGTCCCCGGAGGGGGACAGCACCTGGGAGAGGTGGGTGGGGGGCACCCCATGTAGGAGGCTCGGTGTGTGAGCTGCAGCCTCGCTCCAGATGAGCTGCCAAGGCTCAGGACCTGGGATTTCTCTGGCGAGGAAACGTGTGACACCCCCACCCCCCAGCTTTGATCCAGTGCTGTGCCGCTGGGGCTCGCGGGTCTCCCTGGGTAGCCTGCGGGGCAGGAAGCAGGAGGGGTTTGGAGGCACTGACTCATGTGCCTGGAAGGTGGGAAACCTGGCAGCTGGACAGAGCCTTTCCCTCATTTTCCACTGGCCCTGCCCCGCCACGGTGGTGCCCCTTCCCTGCCAGGCCCTTTGCAAAGGAGATGGTGCAGAGCTGGCTTCCCAGCCGGGTCCACGCCCCCGGGGGACCGGCCCGCGTGGTCAAGGTCAGCGGTGAAATGGAGCGGCTCCCTTCCCTTGGACCGCGCCCAGCTCCGTCTTCCTGAGCGGCAGCTGCCAGGCAGGCGGAGAGACGTGGAAGTGCCGAGAGCAGGGCCGGGAGGCTGGACGCGCCGCAGAGCCCGGCTGGCCCAGGCGGGGTGGGGAAAGAGCAGGATGTTTGCAAGGAGATGGGGAAGTGGAGCCAGGGCTGCGAGAGCAAGGCAACCCCGACCTGGCTGCGGTGATTGCCCAGAGAGGCCGGGGTTTAAAGGACAGCTTATAGGGCAAAGGCACCAAGGGCTTGGAGGCTGGTGGGCATCGGGGCAGAGGGGCTGGTCGCTGGTGTCGGCTTGTTGGCTCTTGAACTGTTTTCGGGGCTAAGCCACGCGGGTGGGTGCTGCACCCTGCCGGGGAGCTGGTCCGAGCCGCCCCACTCTCCTCTCCAGTACGAGGTCTTCAGACCAACAGTGGCTTCCCCATCGTGGCACCTCCGTGTTGCAAGCTGGGGTCCTCCCCGCGGCCCCCACCGGGCGCCATGCAGACGAACTGCTTGCCGTATGGTCCAGGGCGGTGACCTTGCTTAGCATGGAGGAGACACTGGGCAACCCCAGTACCAGCGAAGCACCTCCGTGCCAATGAGCAGGGACCTGGGCAGCTACCGCTCATGCTCCAGCACTCCTCAACCAGCAGCGCCGAAGGGCTGCATGGCACTGTGGCCATCCTGGAGCTGCCCTGAATCCCGAAGTGTCTGCCAGCTGCAGCTGAGATCTCCCTGGACGCTGGGCTCGGCTGGAGAACCCTCCCAGTCCCAGCACCAGCAAGAGATATAAACCGAGGCAGGCCACGGAGGTGAGGGCTGGCGTCTCCCTCCATCCGCCCGAAAAGCAGGGTGCACAAAGCAGTGCCTGATGCTCTGTGCACCGTCAGGAGGTGAATGTGGGGCTTGTGTTATAAAGAGCAGCTTGTTCTGTGATGTCCGAGGCCTGAGCCGGACACAGGCCCTTGGCTGGCCTGGCCTGGTGCCCCGCACCCTGCCGTGCTGCAGCACCTGGGAGAGCACTGGGGCAACCCCAGGCCCTGTCCACACTGGGAGGCAGTGAGACCTGGTCCTCTTCAGTTCAGGGGCAGGGATGGAGGAGGGGATGCCGCATACTGGTCCCCGAGCACAGGAGGTTTCCGGGTGACTCTGATCTTCCCCCTAGGACCAGACCCTTGGCAGCAGCAGCCAAGGCCCCCAGCTAAGTCTCTTGGGTTTGGGAACAGCTGAAACTGGTGGGGGGCTGCATCTTACCTACCCTCTGGCCAGGCCGCACTGGACGGGGGTCACCCCCATGCTCCAGCATGCATGAGGGAGGTGCATGGGGTAGGGCCAGGGATGGGAACAAGAGGGAAAGGCCAGGTGCCGCCTGCATCTCTCCTGGACTGCACACTTTCTGCTCTTGGGGCATGGAAGAGAAGACAACTAGGAGGCCTCCCAGGGGCGTTGGCTTTGCCCTTGCTCCATGCATCCCCCGTAACAATCACTGCTGGAGCTGCTGCTGGGCCAGGCAAGCGCAGCGTGCAGGGAAGTGAGCGGGTGCCCCGTCCCATCCCGCCCCGCCCCGCGCGGCATGTGGAAGCGATTAGCTGACCCGACACGAAAATAAGCAGCGTTTCTGTTTACAAGGCTTGAGCAATGGGATGAAAACAAAATGCCAGATCGGGCTGGGAGGGCCCGACTGGGACGCTTGCTCCCACCGCATCAGGCCATATGGCAGGCGGATGTCAGGGGCCGCTTTGGACAAAGGCGGTGCATTGTCGTGGCCGAAGGGGACGGCGGAGCAGGGAAGGCGATGCTGACCACAGCCTGTGCAGGTGTGGCTGTCGGGGCTTTATTCCTCTATGCACCTTGAGCGCCGGGCGCTCTCTCCCACAAGTTCATCACGGGGGCACAGAAGGGAATTGGTGAGTATTTATTCACCAAGGCGCCCCCGGGGGTTACAAGAAATAACGGCCACAAGCTAGCAGAGAGCAGATTTAGATGGACATTAGGAAGAACTTCTTCACAGTTCGAGTGGCCAGGGTCTGGAACGGGCTCCCAAGGGAGGTGGTGCTCTCCCCTACCCTGGGGGTCTTCAAGAGGAGGTTAGATGAGTATCTAGCTGGGGTCATCTAGACCCAGCACTCTTTCCTGCTTATGCAGGGGGTCGGACTCGATGATCTATAGAGGTCCCTTCTGACCCTAACATCTATGAATCTACAACACGACGGGGCCACGGGAGGGTCTCGGGGGGACGGAGCTGCTGGCAGAGCCGATCGGTTGTCCGCCTGGTCCTGTATGCGAGGGTAGGCCTGTCCCCACCGGAGCTGAGCGAGAGCCCTATGCCTCCCAAGAGCCGGGCCCGCCTCGAGGAGGGGATGGGAGCGCCTCGGAGGGCAGCGGTCTCTGGAGCGTTACAGAGGGCCACACATTTCTCTCCAGTAATTACAAAGCAGTTTCTCCGGCACATGAGGTTTTACGTAGGAGAAAAATAAACAGATGTTGCTGAAGCCAGAATCCCATTCATCATCCTGCAGGAACCGTCAAACGAGACAAGAAAGCCCTTCAACTCGGGCCAAGACAATCACAGCCCCATCCAGCCTATGAAGCAAGTGTCTC